AAGGGGAACAGACAAGTTGCTGTCGTTTTGTTCTTCAGTCTAGTTGTGGAGGATGTTGCTTCACTGGCCCATGTTGATGTTATCATTGCGCTCTTCCCGGGTGAGGCAGATCGGTCACTGGCCTCTGGACGGCTGCTCACAGAGGCTCTTGGCAGCTCACACCAGCTGCCAGCCACTCACGCTGGCTGCCAGCCACACACGGTAGCCTACCACAGCCCACTGCAGCAGGGGCTGCAGCCTATGCCATCACTGGTGACTCATGGCAGCCCAGCTCCAGATCGAGCTGTTGTTCACCATCTTAGCTGTAGAGGGCAGTGTCACTGGTCCATGTGGGATCCAAACCGGGGCCCTGCTGCTCAGAGCTGGTGTCCCAAGTCAGCTCTTAATCAACACGCCACTCGGCCGGCCTAGTAATGTAATGTTCTGACTTAAAGTTTTAATAGTATCACTCTAGATGCTTTATGAAGAAGCACAGAAGAAGCAGGTTAGAACAGGAATCCTAGGTATATGGTTGTGTTTGTTTGTTTTGTTTTTTATGTTTGTTAGAGAGTTTGGGAACAATTTAGTGATAGGGATATGGGAAACTCAGTGAAAAAAAAAATGATGTAACCCTTAACTCTAAGCAAACAAAAGATTGTGTAAGATAGGAAAGTAGGTATAGTATACTACATGGCTCAGCTTTGAACAAAGGGTACGTTTCATATATTGTTAACTCTAAATTTTGGAAAATTGGGGAAGGAGATGTATGGGACGGTAGGTTGTAAGCATTGCCTCATTTTCAATAGAAAGTATGTAAAACTGAAATAATAAGAAATTATAGTATAAACATAGTATTTAGAAATATGATGGTGAATACCAGATCAAATAGCTAACTTTTTCAGTGTGGTTGTACCTGGTGAGAGTTGGGGTGGGGTGGTAGCGGGATGGGGCGGAAGAGGCCTGTTTTTGATAATGCCATTTTATTCTGTGTATATGTATTACTATGATAAAAAATTAAATGGCTAAGTAAAATTTAAAAAGAATTATGAAAATTTTCATATAGATGCATCTACTTTTGACTAGGGGTTGAAAAATACTTGGATATTGCATGGCTTCCAAAATAACAGAAAACCAGATGAACACCAAATAGTTTGCCACTTGCATCTCAGTTGTTTATTCTCTGATTTTTCCATGGAATGGCATTAATTATCTATGCAAAAAGCTTATCCTTCTTTAAATGAAAAAAGGTCTTCTGACCTTCCTGAAAGAGAGCTTTTTTTTTTTTTTTTTTTTTTAAATGCTGTGGCTCTGGCCTTGAACTCTTTTAGGCCAGAATTCCAGGAAATGGCAGCGATGGGTGAGATGAGCGAGTCCTTGGAACCACAGTTTTCAGNCTAGTTGTGGAGGACGTCGCTTCACTGACCCATGTTGGTATTGTGATTATTGCGCTCATCCCAGGTGAGGCAGATAGGTCGCGGGCCATTGGTTGGCCGCTCACGCTGGCTGCCAGCCACTCATGGTAGCTCACGGCAGCGCACTGCAGCTTATGCCTTCACCAGCAACTCATGGCAGCCTAGCTCCAGGTCGAGCTATTGTTCACCATCTTAGCTGTGGAGGGCACAGCGTCACTGGCCCATGTGGGATCTGAACCGATGGCCCTGCTGCTGAGAAGTCGCGCTCCCAAGCCAACTCTTAATCAACGAGCCACTTGGCCGGCCCTCAGCCGTGTGTTTTTCACAGATGCTCTTTATCAGGTTGAGAATGTTTATTATTCTTCCTAGTGTGTTGGATTATTTTTTTTAATCAAAGGTGCGTTTTCTTAATTTTTTTTTTAATTTGAGATGATCATGTTTTGTTTTTTTTCTCAGTCTATTAATATAGTGTGTTGTATTGATGAATTTTCAGATGTTAAACCAACCTTTTATTCCAGAGATAATTCAACTTGGTCATGGTATATAATCCTTTTTATATGTGGCTAGATTTGGTTTGTAATATTTCATTGAGGATTTTTGTGTCTTTATTTATAAGTGATATTGGTGTGTAATTTTCTTGTGATATCTATTTGGTATTGGTATTCGGATAATATTGGCCTCTTAGAATGATTTGAGAAGTTTTTCTTATGCTTCTGTTTTTTTAAAAGAGTTTGAAGGATTGGTATTAATTCTTCTTTAAACATTTGGTAGAATATATCTGGGCCTGTACTTTCCTGTGTGGGAAGTTTTAAAAGTATAATATGTTTGTTAAGACCAGTTATAAGAGAACATTCATTTTGCAAAAACCTATGGATATTTGATAATTCAGCCAATCTTCCTCCTATTATAATATTGAAATAGAAAGATTTTGATATACCTACTTAATAACTTTCTTTTTTCTTTCATTAAAGGTCTGTAATTACTGTGGATTTGGTAAGACATGGCATCAAAGAAATTTGCTGTTAAAGTAAGTAATGCTTAATAGCCTTCCTTAAAATGATTAATCACACTCAAGAGTTTGAGCTCTGAGCAACAGCGGTTTGAGTCCCTGTCCAAGCTGAGCAGCTGCTGAGCTGCCAACAGGTGGTAGGATGGCTCACCTAAAAAAAAAAATGATTAATAATTTTCTAATATAACTGAATTCTATGTTAATTGAAAATAGAAGCTCTGAACTTTCCTTCTACTCTTTAAATTTGGCACTCTACTGAAAACTTGAAGTAGGCAATTGAGAATTTTCATGTTAGGAATGAGATGGAAATTAATAGTTAATATGGTTATGGGAGGGGTTTTTTTGTTTTGTTTTGTTTTAAAGATTTTGTTGGGGAGTTGGGGAAGGGGAACAGCCAAGTTGTTGTCCTTCAGTCTTAGTTGTGGAGGGCACAGCCAACTCAGCTCCAAGTCCAGTCACCATCCAGCCGCGTCGGCAGCTCAGCTCAAGGTGCCATGTTCAATCTTAGTTGCAGGTGGGCATAGCCCACCTTCCATTGCAGGAGTCGATCCGGAAACCTTGTTGCTAAGAGCTCACACTCTAACCACTGAGCCATCCGGCCGCCCGGTGGCAGCTTAGCCCAAGGTGCTGTGTTCAGTCTTAGTTGTGGGTAGGCGTAGCCCACCACCCCATGCAGGAGTCAAATCGGCAAACTTGTTATTAGGAGTATGTGCTTTCACCAGCTGAGCCACCCTGCCATCTATTGGCAGCTCAGCAGCAGCTCATCTCGGGCGCAGCTGACTGGCCCATGTGGGAATCAAACCGGCAACCCTGTTGCTCAGAGCTCACGCTCTTTACCAACTGAGCCACTTGGCCGGCCCCAAGGGAGTTTCTTACTTCGTCTTTTGTAAGATGCCTTTTGGTCATAACTTGTTCCATTTGGTCCTTAATTTTAAAAATTATCATTCATGTTGCATGTCCATGAAATGATTTTTGATTCTGACAAAGCAGATAAAAATAAAGAAAGGCATCAAATGTTGCACCTGGTGAATGGAGAGAGTTCCCTTGCTTGCTGCTCTCCTTTCCTTTTTTCTTACAGGTTTCTCTCATCTATCTCTTGCTGGTTGGGGCTGGGATCTTCTCAGGTGTGGAGGCATGGGAGGATCATGTTTGCGGGAAGGAGATGGAAAGAACTGATAAATAATGAGTAAAAAGTTTAGGAAATGCTTTATATATGTTGGCTATTTTTTAGGACATTTTCTCTTTGTTAGTGTTATATTCAGTATGCATTCAAAACACCAAAATATATAAATTTGTTAAATTTGTTAACCAGATTAGAAACTATTTAATATTGTAGTTGTATCTTTTTAGCATGTCAGTGCTTCTTTAGATTTACAACATATTAATAAGTTTTATTGTTTACAATTATTTCTTGTACCTGTATATTCTGTATTATTACTTTGTGTGAGAGATTATAAGTGGTGAACTTTCACTATTTGTGTAAAATGTATTTTGGTCTCACTCTAGAAAGATATATAGTTTATTTTAGAATTCAAGGTGGAATATTATTTTTCCTCAGCATGTTAGAGATATTTTTCCATTGTCTTCTGGAATCTGTTATTGCAACTCAGAAATGTTTTAATTATCAATTGATGCTTAAAACCAACTTAAAATTTAGTGGCTTAAACATAAACCATTTTATTCCTTCTCATGGTTCTGTAGGTTGCCTGGTATCAGTTGGGTGGTTTCTCCTTTTGATACTGGCTGGTGTTGTAATTATCTGGGGAATCAATTCAGCTAGAACATCAAAGATGACTATCTACATGGCTGTCAGTTGGTATTTGCTATGGTTGGACTCACACCTGGGGCTATTGTGCCCTTCACGTTCTCATGTGACTACTCTGTGTGGCTTGGGCTTTTGCTAATATGGTGGCTGAGGTTTGAGGGATAGTGTCCTAGAGTTGCAAGAAGTCAAAAGAAGAAAAAATTGTAATTTGCCAATCCTCTGAAGGCATCCAAAGCTTCGGATGCCACTTCTGCTGCGTTCTCTCTCGGTTGGAGCATTCTAAGGGCCAGCCCCAGGGGAGCTCCAGCTCTTGATGTGAAAAGCAGCCTGTGTTTACAGGGAAGGCGAGAGTTAGAATTATCTCACGATGGAGACTAGTCACCCCAGAAGTCCGCTGTCAGCCTCATTGTGATTCCTTTCTTGGTTCTCTGTCTTTTCTCTCTGGTTGCTCTTAAGATTTTATTTTTGTGATGTTCTGCAATTTCACAATTAAATCTCAAGATACAGACTTGTGTTTATCTGGCTTGGGATGCAATGTAAATCTTCATTTGGAAGATTCAGAACTTTCATCAGTTTTGGAAAATCTCAATCATTTTATCTTCCGGTACTGCTCCTCTTTATTTTCTCCCTGCACAATTTCAGTTTCAGCCAAGTAGAACTTGGAACTCTTATACGAAGTTTGTTGGATAGTCTCTTATAATAGTTTCTTATTTGCTGAAGGGGTGATATTAACTTGTCCAAGACTGAGCCCCTGCAGGCTGTCTTTTCAGAAAAGGACTGGGCCTCTTGCAAAGCTCCGTCAAAATTGGCTATGGCCCCATAGGGCAGACAATCCTGGTCAGCCATGACGCTTGGACCCCAGTCCCTAATTATACCAGAGATGGGCCTATTGATTTCCAAGCCATACACACTGTTGTGGCAAATTCTGCTACCATATTTTCCCATCTCACAGTCAACCAGCAAGGCTTGGAACCTAGCTCTCAGATCATGCCAATCAGGGAAGTTACCCTAACCATGAGTATCAAGCTAGCAGAGTAGGGATAGAGACAGAGTTCTGACACATTATATAGAAGATTCTATACATCACTTTGTGATTGTTCCTGCCTCTGATCACACTGGCAAGGGGCCAGTGCTTCACTAATCATGCAGCTTAAAAGCCCCACAACCCAAGTACTGGGATCCCATCTGAATGTCTGACATCTCACCCTGCCAGATTTCTGGGCCATAGAGTGCTTTGGTTAGCAGAGGACCTGCCTTCTCTGATGAACGCTGCTTCTCTAGGCTTGTGTGAGTGCTGCTTGGCCACTTGCCTTTTCCAGTTTCTCTTCTCCTTATGTCTCTATGTTGCATTCAGAGTGCTTTTTATCACATCTCTTTTAGTTCATTAAAATCTTTTCATCTTCATTTAACTTGCTGTTTAATCTGTGTTTAATCTATTCTTTAACTTGTTTATTTGTAGTGACTGCAATTTTACATTTCAGGATTTGTGTGTGTAGTTTTTTTTGTTTGTTTAAAGATTTTGGGGCGTTGGGGGAGGGGAACAGCATTGGGGAATCGGGGAAGGGGAACAGACAAGTTG